AAAAGAATGTGAAACTGTTAGAACTATTGACTTACTTCTTGTTGAAGACCACTACATGCTAAACGAAAGATTACCAATGACAACATATTTCATTCGCAACTATATAGAAACTCTCAAAGCTTGTGGTGGAATGAACATTGAGAAACAAATGAAGATTTATACAAAGAGAGAAGATAAATATGTAGTTCGTTATGATAGAACAACACCGTTATGGGATGTTATGAAAACATTGTGGGAGTGCAAATATTTCGAACCTATTTCTTATGGAGAACTTTTCACATATACTACTGACTTATATAAACAGAACCTTGCACCATTTAAAGATTTGACATATGCTCCAAAGTATTGTGTACAACTGAAGAAGAAAGCCGAGTCAAAAGAAGTAAATAAAAATAAGTGTAAGTTCATTCCTGAGCACGTTTTCTTTGCTGACTTTGAGTGTAGCACTGATGGAGTTCATAAAGCTTTTAACATCTGTTATGACAGTGAAGATGGTTCAGTGAGTGAAAGCATATGGGGTCAGAACTGTGCAACAGAATTTTTGGAACGACTTCCTGACAAGAGTTTAATATATTTCCATAACCTCAGTTATGATATAAACTTCATCTTAAGACACATGACAGAAGTGAAAGGAACTCCCATCATTAAAGGTTCACGAACAATGCAAATAACTGGCTTATATAAAGGAAGGGCAATTATTATAAAAGACTCTTACAGTGTTATAAATAAGAAACTTAAACTATTTCCTGCTATGTTTAACTTACAAACAGGACGAAAGAAGTATTTCCATATAACTACTACAGCAGTACTTTGTTAGCAAATGACAACAGAACTGGTGTCATTTCTGAAGCATGTAAGTTTATCCAGGATGCGGATACATTCATGAAAAACATAGATTCCATCAAAGGTTGCAGAATAGATGAGAACCACTTCGACTTAGAAAAATATAGCACATTTTATTGCAAACAAGATGTAAGAATTTTAAGAGAAGGTTTTGTTAAGTTCCGCAATGACATATTGAAAGAATTTGATTTAAATGTTTATGACTACGTTAGTATTTGTTCAATTGCTAACAAATTATTTGAGAACAGAGTGTACTTCCCGAATGGAAATTTATATGACCTCTCAAATAAACCAAGAGAATTTATTTCACGCTGTATTCAAGGTGGAAGATGTATGTTGTCAGATAACATTAAACAAAAGAGCGAAAAGAAACTCATTGCTGATTTCGACGCTGTTTCATTATATCCATCCGCTATAGCAAGACTTTATACTTTAGAAGGTATTCCAAAGGTTATGAAGAAAGAAATGTTAAGCACAGAGTATCTCATGAGACATTTATTCGATGACGACCAAAAGGAACCCATTGGTGAAAAGTTTATTTCTGGCTTCTTTGTTCTCATTAAGATAACAGAGATTGGAATACATAGACACTTTCCTTTAATAGTTTGTGACCCTGAACTAAATCCAGAACTTAACGTTCCAGAAGTTCAAACACTTGCTGTTTAATGTATGTTGACCATATAACATTACAAGACCTCATAAAATATCAAGGTGTCAAATGTGAAGTGTTGCAAGGATACTATTACGATGGAAACAGAGATATGAGAATAAGAGATGAAGTAAAGAAGTTGTTTGAGTTAAGGTTAAAGTATAAGAAAGAAGGAAATCCTTTGCAAGAAAATATAAAGCTCATTCTGAACAGTATTTATGGCAAAACTATTCTATCTCCTATTGAGTCAAAAATAACCATAGTAAATGACAAAGATGCTATAAGATATGCCATCAGAAACTACAACCATATAGTGAAGTTCGAAGGTTTGGATGATTCAGATAAAACTATTTTCAAGCTAACGAAAAGCATTTGCAGACACTTTAACTTCTGTCCACTTGGTGTTAACATTCTATCTATGTCGAAGAGAATAATGTGTGAAGTATTCTGTACTGCAGAAGATATGGGTTTGTATATAGCCTATAGCGATACAGATTCGATGCACCTGTATAATGAAGACATACCAAAACTCGCTGAAGAGTTTGAGAAACGTTATGGAAGAGTTCTCATTGGTAAAAACCTTGGTCAATTTCATAGCGACTTTGCAGAAATCACACCTGGAAAACAAAGTTTAGCATACAAGTCAATATTTTGTGGAAAGAAGACCTACATAGACTTACTCACGAATGATTTAAATGAAGTTGCATTTCACTGCAGAATGAAAGGCGTGAAGCAAGATGTTATTGCTTTAACCGCTAATGAAATGTTTCCTGACTCTGTTCAGTGTTTCTATGATGAAGATAAAGGTTTAATGGTTCCGCAAGGAACATATGACAAAGACTCTGAGTTCAGTGTTATGAAGTTATATAAAGCACTTTATGACGGTCAAGAGATTGCATTCGACTTATGTAAGTCTGCTACACCTGCATTTGAAGAGAAGTTTAACTTTTCTATTCAGACTAAGACTTCTTTCATAAGAAAGCTTAAGTTCTGAGGTCATGAATGAGAAAAATAATGAGGTCATTTATTTTTGTCAGCAATGAGGTCATTCGTGATAAAAATAAGCCCATGTGGTCATTTACAATACTGCGATGGTAGAGTTTAAGAGTTGTGCTTCAATGTAGAGACAGTCCTTATGGTCTGGAGGTAAGAACACTGGACAGTTATGGTCATGAGTGGAGAACATGTCTATCCAAAACTCACGATTGAAGCCAGTTAATTTATAGTATTTAGGGTTAGGAAGTGGTGAAGTTCTTGTATGACCAATGAACTCATTTTCAACTCCCTTACTTAAGTTTGAATATAATATAGCTTGCTTTCTATCCCAAATGCCAGGTGTTACAATCTTTGAAAATTCATTTTTCCTCGGAAGCATTGCATCATAATTGAAAACATTTTTGAAATCATCACTTGGTTCAGAGATTTGAAATCTTATCCGTAATGGATTTTCTTTCTTTTTAGCTACTTCATTGAATGGTGAATATATAACAAACTGACAGTCATGTGTTCCATCTTCATTTTCATTAAATTCATAATGAAAGTCTATAAGTTGTGGCTGACTACCTTCTTCTTTCAGTTGTGCAAGAAACTCACGTAAAGGCTGTAAAGTTTGTACTTCAATGTTGAACTTTTTCTCGAACATCTCATTAAATGAAATCATACATTGCAACAATGTTGTATCGTCTTTAAAGTATTTGTATATGTGAATGTTTTGGGCGCTTAAAGACTGTTCGTCATTTTCTATCTCGACTTGAAGTATAAAGTCAACCTTTCTGAAAGCACGTGTTATATACATAGATGTTATGCCAATGTACTTCTCTTCATTTATGTTCACAATCCAGTCTGTTGGAAACTTAAACGTTACTCTGTTCCCCTTTATTTTGACGTCAGGGTTTTCACTACTGAACGCAACAGTTAAAGGTATTTGTCTATACATTTAATTCGGATAAAAATAAACCATTTACTCTTTCTTTGCTTCAGCTTCTTTAGCTTTTGCTTCAGCTTCTTCTCTAGCTTTCTTCGCCAGCAAACGTGGGTTCTTCTGTCTTCCAGCAGCTAATGCAGCAAGTTGTTTTTCACTAAGTTTTCTCTTTGGTCTCTCTGGCTTTTGTTCTTGTTTTTGTTCCTTCAGTTCGGATAAAATTTGCTCGCGAATTTCTTTCTTCAATGCTTCAACATCTATGACCCCTTGGGTCTTGTCCGTAGGGCTTGTCTGAGTCATTTGACTGCAGATAAAAAACAAAATTAAAACTTTAACCGGTGTAAAATGAGCTTGTCAAAATCAGAGCGAGAGTCTATTATATTAAATGACGCAAGAGGAATACAACATCCTTTCTATTACGTAAGTCAGAGTAAAGATGGTAAAATATACGTAAGAAAAAGAAAGGTTCCATTAGCGAATGCAGAAAGCGACAACATTAAGGTGTATGACAAGGGTGAAGCCCATATAAAACCTTCTGTTCAAACTGAAAAGTCAATAGAACCAGAAGAAAAGAAGCCAGATGTTCTTTCAATAACGAACCAAGAGCTTATTGCAAAGTTCGTGAATTTCATTGAAAAGCAAACCGAGTCAAAGAACCCTGACCCACCAGTGAAAGAAGTTGAGACAAAAGAGAATGTACAGTTCATTGAAAATGTCAAGAAACAACTTCCACCACGAATGCCAAGAAGAAGAGTGAGAATAATGAAGTAAATAGATATTTTTATCCGAAGTAAATACATGCAGAACGAACAGTTAAACGAATTTACTCCAGCAGAGCATATTCATCAGATTCGCTCATATTTCGATATCATAGACAATGCAGTTCAAATTGGTGACACTAATAGAAAATATTCTGACGCAAAGATTCCATCACAACCTGGAACTGCTAAAGATAACACATGGGTAACATTCAATCTCTCACCTCCTGGTGAAAATATGTTGGACCTTTACAATACATTCATTACGTATAAAATGGAAGGTCAATTTATTGTAGATAAAGAAATTGGTTCAGGTTCCAATAAAACAAACCCACCAGGATTTTGGATTGGTTTCGATGACGCTTTCTATGCAGTTGCTGGATATCAAATCCTTGCAAATGGTCGTATCGTATATTCTCAAGACAACGCAAGAGAAGAAGCATATATAACTTCAAACTCACAAACTACCGAACAAATAAAGAAAGTAGATGTTTTCTCAAAGACTCGACATGAAGATGTATGGAGTCATTCGGGAACATGCAGAACAGGACAAATTGTTAGTGGTCCAATTACAGCAGGAAAATCATTTGATTTTAAGCTTCGTTTAAGAATTCCTGTTAGAAGATTCCTTCCATTAGAAGCTATTCGATTTATTCCAGCTTTTGCAGGAAACATTCAGCTTAAAGTAAAGTTCAGTAGCGACGCCTTACAATGCACATCTATATCTGTAAATGATATCATTGCTTTCAATCCAACTCTTAAAGTTGCATTTGCTTCAGATTCAAATCCACCGACAAATAAATTTGTTCCATGGAATGAACCATTCACTATGATAACGAAGGCAATAGAAGCTAGTGGAACAGTTACTATTACAACTGTAAACCAGCAACTATTTCGAACAAAGATGGATTTTAATGAATGTTTCATTCATCCAAAGTCATTCTCTTTAGACCCTAACATTTATACAGAACTTGTAGAACATTATACAAACGAGGCTTTATGTTTTCCTGTTAAAGTTATGGATTGGATTCCTATGGACGGTTCATTCTCAAAGAATACAGATAGTTCAAGTGCAACATTTACAGCAGCTTATACGCCTATTAATGTTAAAAGTATTTGGGCACTATTTAGAAAGAAAGACAACTATTATGTTAATTTTGAGAACCCTAAGTTTAAATATCTTCAGCTTTCCATGGGAGCTTATGGAAATATGCCTGCAGAACCTGAAAAATCATATGGACCTGTATTTTATGAAATGGTTGCGAACGCCTGCAATACAAACAATGATATGATAGGATTTAATGAAGATGTTATGAGGTCATTGGTGGATGATGGTAGTGTGGAACATAAATGGGATAGCTATGACAACACACATTTCTTATGTGGTTTTCCAACAGAAGTGGACTTTTGCTTCCAGCAAGGTCAAACATCTACTGCTCCAATAACATACAAATTGTCTGTTAAAGGACCTATTGAACTAGCAACTGAAAATGTACCAAAGCCACTTATTGGATTTATGAGGGATTGTTGCTTTGCCATTCAGGTGCGTGCTAATGGAATCCCAATAATAAGATTAGATGACTATAACTTAGCTACGGACGACAGTGAGGAATAAAGGATGAACGTTTATTTTTAAAGCTTATAAATGAGTTCTTCATCAAGCTCTCGCGAACCTTCACCATCTATGAAACAAACTTTACCAAACGATTATGGAGCACCTATTGAATATTTCTTACGAGCTGCACAATGGCAAAGAGCAGTCTCACCAAGGTTAGGTGTTCCACCAGCTCCTGTCAAAAATAGCATTTGGTCAAGTCCTTATATAAAATATGGTCTCCCACTAGGTTTGCTAGCTACAGCAGGAGCAGTTATGATGTTGAAAAGAAATAAAGCAAATGTTGTAAATAATACTGAAGTAGCTGAAGTTAAACAAACTCCAACACCTTCGCCAAAACCAACGCCTTCACAAGCAAAACCTTCAATGACTCCTGAACCTATGGAAGTACAAACTCCTGTTCAAAAGTCAACTCCTAAACCGACTCCAACATTTAAACCAGAACCTACACCACAAATAAATCGTAAAACTCCTGCGTTTCCTTACTGAAAAAATAACGTTATTTTTATTTAATATTAAAATTTTTATTTGATTGAAATGACAAATAAAGTCACTGAAGCAATGAAACAAAAGTTTTTGGTAGAATACATTAAATCAGGAACTATTCCAGAAGGTTTTTACATTCATACTATGAAGGATGGTAGAGTTCAGTTTAGAAAGATAAAGCAACCATTAGATAAAGAAGGAATTTTGAGAAAGATTAAACTTCATGAGGACAACATTGCTGAACTTAGGAAGAAGTTAGAAGAGTTGGAGAAAGGAAGAGAGTTATAAAGCAATGAATTCAACAGGTTAGAAATGAGGGTAGATATCAGGTTAGATCTAACCTTCTACCCTAAGTTTAAATGGATGTTTTCATACGTGTGGGAGTGGTGATATCATTAATTTTAAGTTTATTTTTTATTTTAATTTTATATAAATGACGAAAACTATTGAGATAACAAACTACAACGGTCATGAGTTCAAGAATTTATTCTTCGTTCCTCGTGAAAATACATTCTATCAGATACGAGGGAGAAAGGGTAAAGTTAGTTTGAGCGTTTATGACTACAAGCATAATGGAAAGTTTATACAAGCATACGATACAAACGGTAAGCGTGTTTCATTAGCTTTGTCAAAACTTACTAACATTCATTTTGACAGTGATTTTGACATATATGAAGAAGAAAGTGAGTCAGAAGAATATGAACTGTTGTGTGAAGCACAGCAATGGGAGGAGTTGCAATACTTTTGTAAGTGAGAACGTTTATTTTTTACATTAGTGAGGTGAAGTGGTTGGCGGCTTTGTAAATATTTAAGGTTAAGTTAGTGTTGTCGTTTGTGTTGTAAAATATACGTTAACGGTTTTGTAAAGTGTCAAATTCACATATCAGGGGTAAGGAGGCGCGCAGTGCCTCCGTACCCATGATATGTATACTAACTAAGAAATACTGTGATAGAATACCTAGTTATACTAGATACTATTATAATATGAATTCATTTGTATTGAATATCGATAATAAAAAATCGATGGAACGTCAATTTGACAGACTCAAGTTTCGAATTAGAGACCAACTTTCATCAGCATAGTATATGTGCGCAAACTACTGCATAATGGTATGCTTATCTTTTCATTTTAAAAAATAACGTATTTGAATAATTTTGTAAAAAATTAGAATTACTCGATATTAAGCATATTGCTTTTCTATCATATATGCTTATATTCTACAATAGTGTTACCAAACATCGGGCAACATCATACGTATAATACAACTTTTTTAGGGTTGTTAGATTCCCGACGATAGGTGTCTTGGAAGATTTGCCTGGTGTCATCATAGTGTCTTTAAATCAAAAATTTTATTTTGGAGTTAGTTTTATTGATTTTTCAATAAAAAACATTTCTAAAACAAGAAAATAAAACGATAAAATATTTATATTTTATATAAGGATCTTATATATTTAAAATAAATATCATTTTATTTTTTTCATTGGTGTCTGTCAAACCATAATACACTATTCAAAAATTCAATGTGTCTTGCGGTTTCAAAAGACACCTTCAAATTGAACGATAGCACAGACACTATTGAATTTTACCCATTTTATTTAGTTTTTACCCTTTTTATTTTTAAGAATTAATGACTGAAACAGCCGTTTTGCTATGACCTCAATCACTTTTATTTATTATTTTAAATATTATTTAATTTTATTATTTGAATAGGCCAACTTATATTTGAGAAGCTCAATTTGAGACCACTTAATACATTGAAATATCATAAATATTAAAATATTAAAAAGTGTATTTCAAAATATTGAAATTATAAAAATTTATAATACTGAAATTGAGACAAATTAATAAATTCAATGTGTTTTTTTTTTGAAATAACTCTCAAATATTATTTTTTTGTTTATTTAATGATGAATAAATATGATTGCTTTAGTCAATCATAAAAACTAATTGAGAGAGGGTCAAAGTTGCTATTTGTCACTTTTCCACAAGAATATAATGGGGAAAAAGTTATCATATAGTTGATCTCATTCACTGAGGTGAGAGATGCATGTAGTGTAATGTTATAAACAGTGGGATTGCTTCTCTAAGTCCTAGGTTCGAGACACATTGGCTTCATTTTTCTCTTTTTTATTGACGTAAACTATTCAATTTTTGTGTTCTCCATTCAAATTTCAGAATTTTTTTTGCAGATTTCACGCTACATTCGAAGTTACCTTTTGTAACAACCACCACTGCCTACGAAAGACGAAAGTGTGTCACGATTTCACCCGGAAATCCGACGGTTGTTTAAGAGTAAGCACTTTTGGCACCTACTCAAAACTAATTTAAGTTTAAAATAATGAAAGGATAATTTGATCGTTTTTTAAAATACAATGGTAAAAGTATAAATGTTTATTCCGTATGTAATGTGATTTGATTTGGATGGTAAGATAAGTTTCGGTATAGTTTTTGTTAATTGATTAAGAATTGTTGAATAAAATTCTGGAACTTCGTCAATTTCTTTGATTCCCTCTTCCTCGCAATACAACTCCATATCATTAACTTGTATTTAAAGGCTTCCATATACAAAACTATATATAATGTTTGAAAGTTAAATCCAATCTTTTTCTATTTCTAAAAAAATTGAGACCTAAACACGAGATAGCTTTCAGAAAATTTTCAGGGACATTTTTAATCATTTTTTTTATTTATTGTAATATCTTTGTTATTAAATTTGAATTGTTTAATATTTGAATGTAAAGAATTGAATAGTAATAATTTTAGTTTTAATACATAGCTAATTGCTAAGCAAAATAATTAATTTATTGTAATTTTGACATGTAAACTAAAGGGGAATTTAGCCGGCCAAATATGTGTTACTTTTTGACTTCACCTCACTTCCACCATTTCGTCTTATGACAGTATATAGGTACACTATATATCTCTTACCCTTTCCTTCTTACCTAAAGACTTCCAATCTTATTTTTTTCCAATTTTTCCCCTAAATTTAAATCTTATATAATATAAATAAAATGCATAATATCAATCACAAAAATTAATGTTTATTTTTTTAATTAAAATTGCCGCGCAATTTAAGGTTTTCTGTCACTTTTTTGTTAGCCATTTCGGTACGAAACAGTTTTGGATTCATATTGAGAGTCCAATACAATTTTTGAACCCCACATTTGTAATTTTCATAAGAATTCTGAACCTTCAAAATTAATTCTGGAGTTAATTCCTCTTGTGAGGACCACCTTTAATTTTTGGTGTACCACCGATTTCTTTGAATGCTTTTTGAGAGTATTTCTTGAAACTTGTTTGAAAATTGTAACATTTTGATAAGAATATGGAACTTTTTTCAAAACTGTTGCGTAAGTTAACTCACCACTTTCAAGTTTTTCATACATATATCTTACCCATTCATTTGGAATACGAGGTCTAGAGTTTTCGTTCATTTTTTTACTTTACAAAACTGTTTATTTTTCAGAATTTTTAAATTTGAAAAAATCCATTCTATATCTGATAAATAATATATTATTTTTCAATCAAAATATTTTGATTATCATCTCAAAAGTGTTCTCAAAACCTAGTTTTTCTTATTTTGGATAATCTTAATATTTATATTATTATAAACTAATTGAACACCATATGTTTTTGTATACTTTTACAAAAAAATTGATAGATTTGTGATACTTCCCCGACGATAGAATTGAATAGCTTACATTTTGACAGAACTTAATATGGAACATTTTAAACAAATTTGAAATGAAATAATTTGTGAGAATTTGAGAATAATTTAATTATTTCAGAAGTCTATATTGAAAAAATATTCTTAACAAAATTAATTTAAATGGTTCAGAAAATAAAAAATTAAAATTAATGGAAAAAACATGATTAGGAATAATTAACAATAATAAATATCATGGTTTTGTTGTAAACAGAAATTCATCAAAAGTGACACCTCAGAAAAGCTAAAATATTGAATTTTTGGAACTTTTGATAGAGCACGTTTTTAAATATTAATTAAAGTAAATGTATATTTTGTACAGATTCTTTTTAATAAAAAAATAAAATTTTGAAGAAGAACACAAAATCTTCTGAAAAATAATATCACATAAACTCATATTATTTTCTAATATATAACTAAAAAAAAAAAAAAAAAAAAAAAAAAAAAAGGTAGTGGGGCTTCCAGGGGCTGCGCCCCTTCTAGCCCCGAAGATGTTTAGTATAAATGAAGTTCTTATATACGGGTCTTCCAGGAGCTTTTCACAAATTATATATGTTTTCATGTTTTGTCAAGACTTCTTCGTAAAATCAGACAAAAATAATGTTTAGGGTAGAAGGTTAGATATAACCTCTTTTCTAACCTCTTTTCTACCCTCTTGAATTTTCAAGACTTCTTCGTACATGTTTTGTCACTTTTCTGTCACTTTTCAGGAAAAAACATTTTTATTATATATATAAAATGAATTTTACAAAACCACCGTTACCCTTCTTTGGAAATAAGAGTAGATGTAAAGATATTCTATTGAGAGAACTTAAGAAACTACCGAATGGTCTAACATTTGTAGACTTGTTCGGTGGAAGTTTCTATATATCTCATTTGTGCCATACAATATTTCCTGACTCAAAGATTATATGCAATGACTTCGACAACTATATGAACCGTCTCAAACATATACCAGACACAAACAAAATATTGAAAGAGTTAAAAGAAAAGATACCTATAGGTAAGATGGAACGTATACCATTAGATAAGAAAAATACTGTCAGAGAGGTTTTGAAAAAGGCAGAGTATATTGACTGGGATAGTATATCTGCTAGACTATTATATAGTGGTGCTATAAGAGTTCATGACATTGAAACACTTATGTCAAAAGTTTTATATCTTAACTATACAAATGTTTTCAAAGAGAACATAGAAAAATATATTGAGGGTATAGAGTTTGTGAGATGTCATTGGACAGAGTTGTATGAAAAATATAAAGACAAGGAAAATGTTTTCTTTATAGTGGACCCGCCGTTCTATAACACATGGGATTTTCAATACCAAGTAGACTGGACTTTGAGAGACTCTTTAGAAACTTTAGACGTTTTACATAACCATCCATGCTTTTACTTTACATCCGATAAAAGTGGTTTGGAAAGTGTCATGAGATGGTTAGAGGACATACATGACTATGAGTTTAGATACGATAAGATAGAATATGAGAGAGGTCCTATAAACTGGAGAAAGTGTCATAACAAAGAAATTTTACTAGTAAGTAAATGTGGTTTGAAATAGGACTACTTGTTTTAGGTTTTTTCCATTGTGTCATTTACTTATTTGACGTGGCAGAAAGATATAGAGAATATGAAGATGAACCAATGCCTGCAAATGTTCAGCATATGTACTCGTAAGAGATATTTTTATCTAATATTAAATGGACGCACAGAACTTAGCGAATGCACAGCAACCTGGACAACCAAACCCAGAGAATATTCCAAATGAAGTTAGAATACAAACTGCAATGGCAAACTATGGTCAAGTGCCAACAGATGTACAAATGCAAACTGCCATGTCAAATGACGCTGCGTTAGGTTTGCCACCATGGTATGCAAATATGAGATGGAAAGAGTTTTATACAAACCCGAAGTGGGATATAAACAACTTTATGCAGATGACGCGAACACAGGAGTTGACCCAGAGTATGTTTTCTACCAGAGGAGAAACAGAATGTATGAGCTCCAGTTAAAGAATGCTATGGAACTCAGAAGGAAACGTAAGAGACTAGGTGGACATTAGATTTTTACATATAGTAAAATGGGTTTCTTGGAAGAATAGGAAACTTCTTTCGAAATGTTGGAAGAGGTATATGGAATGGAATAAAAACCGTCGGAAGAGGAATTTGGAACGGTGTCAAAAATATTGGTAAAAAGTAGGTCAGTTTGTTGGTATTATACCTAAAGACCCTGAACCAGAAGAGCAAGCTCCTGTTATACAACAGCCTGAACCTGCACCACAGTCTAGTTGGCAACCAAATCCAACACCTCAACCGTATTAAAAAATCATATTTTTACCGTTCGATAGTAGTTGTATATGAAACTAAGTTCTAAGTAAAACGCGTGGTATAATGGAATTATTCTCTTTCTTCCATCTGTAGTAAACCATACTTGAAAGTCTGAAATACTTCCACTTGGTGGTTCGTATAGCTTTGTAGGTTTTTCGTAAAAGTCATTTGCCAAGCATAAAAAAGAGTTTTGTGCACCAGAAAATGAAGCATGAACTATAATAGCAGCTGGGTCGAAAACATCTTTAAATAAATATGGTTCATCTCTTGCATATCGACTGTAAATATTTGCTAAAGGAAGTTCGACTTTCTGATTTAACATTCTTTGCAAATAATACCATGACATTGCAGTGAATTCTGTATATATTTGTTCGTCTTTCTTTGGATTGTCTTCGTAGATTTGAAATGACACTTGTGAATTTTGTTTGTCATATACAATTCTCACATAAAGTGTGCTCTCGGTATTTGCATATTCATCAGCATATTTTGCATAACATGAATTTATTTTATCTTCTATATTTTTTAACGCAGTCTGTAGAGAAGATGAAAGGTCAACTTGTATTAGCTCAATTTCTTCCCACATTTTTCGTTTCCCTTCATATATATAATCTATATGAAACCTTACAATAAATGGAAAACTTTTATCTTCTACAGATACAAACTTCATTCTACGAAAGCCAATAGCTTTTGTGACAGATGGGTCTCTTAGCCATCTTAATGGGTAGTCAAAACGATAGCCTTCATGCTTTACGGTCTCTGTCTCAAACTTTTGACCGACATTAGTAAAAAGTTCATCTAATGGTTTAGTTGTAGCAACTCTTGAATTTTCTTTTTCTATTGGAAGCATATTTTATCTAGAATAAAAATGTCGAAAGAAACAGCGTCTATGAGAGAAATACAACACAACCGACAACTCATTATGCAAGCTCTAAATAGAACACAACAAACTTTTCAAACTATTCTAAGATATCTGAGTCATTGAAAAGAAGGAAACTTAAAACTGACATTAAACCCAATGACAGATGAGTTTCTGTTTCAAGACAATAAGAACAATACTGTCTGTATAAATCCAACAAAAGGAACTTTAAACGAGAAACCTATAAATGAACTTCTTTTGAAAACAGATGTTGACAACAAAGCTGACAAAGAATATGTAGACGATGCAATAGCAAAAGAAGAAGAAAGAGCTAACAATGCTTATGCAACAAAAGAACATACTCATCCTGAACTAGCAGACAAAACATATGTTGACAATAAAATGTCAAGTGAAGTGACAAGAGCTGAAAACGAATATTCTAAAAAGACTCATACACATACCATTGCAAATATTACAAACTTACAAGAAACCTTAAACAGGAAAAGTGACGTTGGACATACACATTCTATATCTGAAATAACAGACTTAAACGTTAGCCTTGAAAAGAAAGCTGACAAAACATATGTCAACAGTGAGTTAGAGGAGAAGGTAGATAGGGGTTGTATGGCTAGTGCGTTAGTGAAGAAGGCAGATAAGGAATATGTGGATTGAAAAAGACAATGAAATTAAAGAAGGGTTGAATGGTATAATGAACGGACATCGAAGATTTTAGAAGGTAAAGCCAATACAGGGTGGGTTTCAGGATGTTTAGACCTTAAAGCGGATAAGAACCATACACATACCATTGCAAATATTACAAACTTACAAGAAACCTTAAACAGGAAAAGTGACGTTGGACATACACACGATTTCTTCGCAACTGTTGGTATAGAAAATATTGAAGGAACGGTTGAAGGAGCTGGTGGGGATGTATTAGATTGGAAACCTCCTAACTTTCCACAAGGTTTAACATCGGATGAAAACATAACAACGATGAAATACATTAGATGTAGAAATGTCTATGTCATGGAGGATGAAAAAAAAGTTAAATTCACTGCTCAAGATTTATATGATAAAAAAGCTGACAAAACAGAGCTTCAAACGTTAAAGACAGAAATACTTCAAACACTATATCCTATAGGTTCTATTTACACGTCAATGAACTCTACCAGACCAGAAGTAGTACTTGGTTTTGGAACTTGGACTCAAATAGTCGACAGGTTTTTGTATTGTGCAAACTCTTCAAAGGAAACAGGTGGAAGTAAAACGATTTCAGGTGAAAATTTACCTGCACACAGTCACTACAAGATTTAAGTACATCTCAAGCAGGTTGGCATAAGCATAGATATTGGGATTGGTCAGAATGACAAAAGGTAAAGGATATGATGTTAAAGACGACGTTAAGTTTGCTATAAATTGTTACTGGAGTAACACTGAGGGAGGAGGAAACCATACACATCGCGTTTCAGGGATACAAACAACGGGACAAAGTAAAGACTACATGCCACCTTACATGACAGTTTACGCATGGTATAGAATTGCTTAGTCGTCATTTTCAACTTCTTTAGCATATTCGTCAGGAGTTGTCTTATATTTGTTAGGAACTGTCTTTGAAAGTATACCACCTTGAACTTGACAAGTTTGAAACGAGGTCTGACAATAGTAGTTTTATCTTCTGCTTGCAGTCTGTACATTTTGCCATGTTTGCCTAAAACTTCATAATATTCTCTTGTATACTTTCTTCTATTTTTACGAACACGAAGGTGAGTACCTGTCGAGTTCCCATTGTTGTCATAGTCAATAGTATTTTCATATGGGTCGCGTTTAGGTATTTCTATTTTTACTTTGTCACCTTTCTTAAGTTTGAAGCCTGGCATTCTTTCTTGTTTGTCTCTTTTGACTAAACTATTAAATATATAGTCTTTCTCTAAGTCGGGGTTGTTTTTCATTTCTTCGGGGGAGTGGTTTCCCAAACCTTTTTGTTTACGGCTATTGTAAATATTTAAAACTTGTCTCATCTTTGCCATGGAGAAGTGTCTATATTTGTCGTCATATGACATTTCATGCTTCACCACCTTGTGGTTGATTTAAGTCTCTTAAGATTTTTATACAACTGTCAATGACACCAAGAGCAGAATGGTTTTGGTCGACAATGAAATATTGGTTTACATTTTTTGAACGCAGATAGTTTTTATATCGTCTGATTTGAAAGAACTTTCACAGTCAGATGTCAGTTTTGTTGGATGGTATTTGTCAACGAATATTGTCAAAGCAGTTTTCACATCTAAAATATTTTTGGACATAATGGTATGGCTTCACAGTATCTTGTGTTTTGACCGACAAATATTAGCCAGTATGGTGGTCCATCTTCTCTATACCTCGGAATGTTTTCCAAGATATCCATAAACCAAGCATTTGGTGTTGAACTAAAGATTTTTATCATGAGTGCTTTCTTTGTTGCCTTAGAAACATAGGGGTCCTTGTTTGGATTCGTCATTTTTTACCTATAAGAAATGGGTTTATTTGGCGCATTAGCAGGAGTTGCATCCAGATTTTTGCCCGCAGTGGGAACAATAGCCAGAGGTGTATTTGGAGTTGGAAGGAAGATTTTGAGTACATTAGGTATACTTAAAGAGAAAGCACAACCTATTATACAAACTGTACAGAAAGGTTGGGATGTAGCACGAGATGCAGCAAATCTTATTCCAAATCCTGAAACAAGAGGAAAAGTTCAAGGATGGATGGACAATGTAGGAAGACAAGCAGGAAACTATTATAACAAAGCAAATGACTACTATAACCAAGCAGGACACTATATGGACCAAGGTGAAAGATTCTTTAACAGAGGATATAACCATGCACAACAATGGGTAAACAATAACCAACCTCAACCGCCTCAAACGTGGGGAATGTAAAGTTTTTTACTGAGATGAAATGAACAATACAGCATTGAGACAAATGGGTTCAAGATGGATTTGTCGGCTTCCAGCAGTTACACCACCACGTGTTTGTCAAGTTCTTCCTATACCTCAGGAAGTTTTAGACCGACTTAAAAAACCAAACAACCAGTTGAAAACAAACCAAACTAAAATTTTTTACTGAGATGAAATGACCGAAGAAGTTGAAACGGTAGATTTGACACCACAAACAAAAAGTTCAGAACCATTGTCAAAACCTGTCAAAGAACTTACAGATGAAGAGAAAAATTCAATAATAGAAAGTGCCAGGTCTGGAAATACAAACCCTAACTATAAAGTCACTTTTCATAGAAATGGAACGGCTAGTATCTCAAAAAAGAAACAGACTCTCACAAATAAAATATTGAAGTCTGAAGGAGCTTTCGAGACAACAGATGGAAAAGTTTACTTCACTGACCAACAGTTCATTATAGAACATCTCATTGACTTAGAGTCGAAATATTCTAAACTTTACAACAAACACAAAAAGTTGAAAGGAAAACAAAAACAAATGGCATATGATATTTATGAAGATGTTGACGACACAACCATACCTGCAAGTGAGGTAAAGTCAGAGGAACCGAAAAGTGACGAAAAACCGATAGAAGAAGGGAAGCCACAAACTGAAGAAAAACCAAAACCAAAGGTTAGTTTCCAAACTAAACCAAGTCAACCTTCATTAGCTGGTATGGGTTGGCGTCAAAGACTTATGGCAGCAGGCGGTTATGTAAAGTAAAGAAAAAAAATATTTTTTTATTTTTATAAAAATGCCCCCGTATAGAATGGATAGAAAGTCTGCTAGAATAAAAGCAGAGTTGCAAAGATATGGTTGGAGAGTTTCAAAGAAGTTTAAATATAGGAAGGGAAGACCCATAAAAGTCTATGACAAATTGTCTGGTCTTCGCTATGAAATGGACTTAGAAACAGCACGCGCAAACTATCCAAACAGATTAGAGAGGTTAGAAGAAGAACGTCTTATGGACATGCCTTTCGATGTTAGTGAACCTCAAGTTGAAGGACACGACGGCTTTGCCAGATTCTACTGGAAACATGACGAACAATTGCATCCTTTGAGAAGGAAAAAAGGAAAAGGTGAAGACGCACATGCTCCCATGGAAAGAACAAGATATGCATATGAAAAGTACCGTGAAGTTAGAAGTCAAATTACATCTGGTCGAACCTTTACAGTAAACTTTGACGAAGGAAAGAACAAAGAAGGCTTCATGGGAGTACTTGCTGCAATTCAAGATGGAAATAAGAAAGGATACAATCTCAGATTGACCATAACAGATTTGGACGGTCATATATACTATGCGCATGGCAATGTCACAACAGCTGCAATGCTTCTTGACGCTTTCAAGACTACAAAGAGAGAACAAATGGTTGACTCCGACTCAGACATTTTGAATGCAATTGAAGGAATTGCAAGTGTAAAATTTGAATGGTATGAACCTAACCCTCAAGCAGTCAGACAACATGCTGGATACTTCCCGTTCATAAATAAGTCTGACATTGACTTGACAAGGTATGGAATTTACAATTCAATTGAAACAATTGTCAATGAACCTTGTATTCTTACATGTCTCAGGAACTCTGGTCTTGTTACAGATGAGAAGATGAAGTATCTTGAGTCATGTGTGAAGACAAGGTACATTCTCAGAGGTCAATTGGCAAAAATTGCACCGTTGGCAAATGTCAATATCCGAGTCAACATACCTACAGCTAAAGGTTCTTCACATGACGACTATGTTGTTGACAAAGACTTACCATGGTTGAAGATTGTAATTGTCCACAACCACTTCATGTTGAACGAAAGTCTTACAAACCCATTGTTCGGAAAAGGCAAGTGCAACATTGTCAGAGCTGTAAACATTCTTTTCGAGAAAGGTTTGTTGGAACCAATTCCAGATGACAAGCTGACAGAAACTTTTGTACCAAAAGATGAAACAAACTTTTCATTGTTGGTAAGACCAAAAGTTGTTCCAGACAAAGTTATAGCACAAAAGAAGTACACTGTTCCAAAAGGAGTTGGATTGTTCGGATACCAACCTGAACCAGAAGAACTTCCAATGAGGTTGCAAGAACTTCAAGATGCTATAAACAAACTTCCATTGAGACATCCAATTGACGTCAAATTGTATTGGAGAGCTCTGAGTTAGGTCAGAAGGTTTTATATGAAACAGGTTGCTTCGACGATGTTTATGAGATACAGGAGAAGTTTCTCAGAAGATAAGAGACTCACTTGAATTTCCACAAACTGGACCAATTGGTTGCGACAAGTTCGACTCATATGAAAAGATATACTATGTCGACCTTAACGCTGCATACATGAGGTTCGTCCAATATATCCCGACTGGAATTCCAAACGAAGATGGAGAGTTCCCAGGAAGGAACTATACAGTTGGAAAAGTCATACAACAACTGTATGATATTAGGAAAGCTTCAAACCCCAAACTTGCAATGACACTCAAATTGCTTATGAATTCGACATGGGGATATTCCATTAAGAAACCTCAAGAGATGAAGAGTAAACATTATGAGAAGGTCGACAACTTTGTTGAAAGGTTTTCTCCTTTTGTTTTGAAGTACGAATTCACTCAAGGTCAAAGTGGCTTAGTAACCACATTAAAACCTATTGTCGAACATTGGTCTTACCCTCAGTTCGCAAAGGCAGTCCTTGACAACTACAACAAATTCTTCTCGGAAGTCAAATCCAAAGTGAAGGTTTACTACGAGAACATCGATGCACTCATGACGAACGAAGAAGGATACAACAAACTCATTGAAATGGGAATGGTCGGTGAAAAGATGGGTCAATTCAAATTGGACAAAATTTTCACCGAAGTTCATGTCCTCTCCAAGCGTAAGTACTGGGGCATACTTGAAGACGGCACAGAAATAAAACATTGCATGAAGTAAAAAATTTTTATTCGAATTTGAATCGGACAGGTCGAGTTACACCATTCTTGGTCTCAAACTCATATATAACCTGTTTGTTTGTATTTTCGTCGACTATGGCACGAGACACGAACATTGACCAAACGGACAAAAAGTGTCATTTCAGATGGTCCCGCAGCCAATCGCATTCGAGCACTTCGAAGAAGCCTTACGTTCCAAGGGAGAGGGTGTCTGGTGCAAGGCAGAGGTCATGAGACTCTACGAGCAGTACATCCTCAATGCCTGGGAGGACAAATCGTCCTTGGATTGGCAATTCTACCAACTCCTCTGGGACGACCTCCTACGCAACTGGGATGACGAAAGAGTCCAATTCAGAGGTCGGGAGCTAATTGTCCAAATTACCCTTAATTTAACCCACTTAATGAACTAAACACCTAATTTTACTCGGGGTTTCCCCCTAAAATAAAATTTTTTTACTCTTAGAACCACTCGAGGTTCTCCTTACGGTTGTTGAGCTTGTCACCGTCAATGTGTCTGACCTTCGTCTTCTTGTTTGGATTTGGAACCCATTGCATACCGACAAGCTTTCCCATGGAAATTGAACCGTAATTTCGAAGGGTAAGGTTCAAGTGTCCCAAGTTGTTGAGGACTGGGGTAAGAACCTTGCCGGTCTCCTTGTTGCGGATTTTGTATGGGTAGGGTTGGGAAATTTCGTAAGTGTCATCGGCAACAAGGGTTGCCCAAACTTCCTCTTCTTCGTGTTTCTCTTCTTCCTCTTCTTCCTCTTCTTCCTCTTCTTCCTCTTCTTTGATAATACCTTCTTCAATTTGGTACTCACGAATTACGGTGTTGGAGGTTCTGTCCTTTCCGAGTACCTTCCAGATGGCGTCTATCTCTTCGAAGAAACGGTAGATGAGTCTGGCAAGGTCTCGGTTCTCTCTCGCGTAAATGCGCAAGGTTTCCGTCAAATCGTTCAGGACTTTCTCATTGGAAGCTTGGTTCATGAGGAACTCACCTTTAAGTCCCTTCATCTCTTCCATAAGACTACTTTGGAGAGTCTTAACGGTGTTTGTCAGATGAGCTTTCAAATTCAAAATTTGAATTTGAACTGGGCGCTTGTCTGGCAACCTTGAAAGGACATCTTCCATTGAGTTTGGCTTCGGTGCTTGTTCGGACATCGAAAAAATGAAGTGGTTTGAGAATGACGGTTTTACTTCAAAAAGCTTGTTATGACGGTTAAGTCATACAACAAGTTTAAAATAATATCTTGTTCTTCTTCTGAACGTTTGTTGTCTCTTCCGATAAAAGTTTCGAACATGAGAACCAAAAAACGTTTTTTGAGATTGCGGAAGAGTTCAGGCAAACGTTCATATTCGGATATGTTGGGAGCAGTTCGAAACATCTGAGCTGACTTTCGGACAAAATTGGGACAATGTCAGAAAATTCATCTTTGGTCGGACTGCTTGAAGGTAAGTCCCTTACATGTAAGTAGCTCTGGTAAAGTCTTCTCATTTCTGCTAACTTTTGGAGTATAGCTTCGTAGTTTAGAAGTTTCAATTTTAATTGTCTTATTCCACTCTTTACTTCTAAACGGTAACTATCCATGAGGTCAAGAGTAGCTTTGGTAGCTTTAAGTGGAGCTATCTGTTCCTTGACTCCTGCAATTTTGGTTGCAATTGTGGTTTGAGCTCCTTCAAGTTCGCCGTCTATGTCGTTCTCAACGCCTTCAACCATGGCTTGAAACTCTTCATCGGTCCATTGAGATTGGTGTGGGACGAATTTAACTTGCTTCATTCAAAAAATGAAAAAAATGTTTTTACTCAAAGCGTGCCATGTATATGGCTATAAGAAACTTACCAGAAGGCTTCTTCTTCACATGAGTCTTTGGCAACTTGAGTGTTGGTGTTGGAGTTGGGTGTGGAATTTCAATTCTCTCTCGAGCGCAACAACAGATGTCAGAATAACATTCCCCACTGTCTTTCTTGCCACCATAAATTGTGTATTGACCGAACTTGCATTTGCAGGAAGACCGGTCAATACAAGGTTCACAGTTGAAATAGTTGTACACAAACCTGTTGAGTACGAGTGTGAGTAAAAACATAAAAAAAGTGAAGTTAAACGTTAAGGTTTACTGAATTGGTTGGATGTCGCCTTCTGAGGTTATGAAGAATGGTTGACCCGAGAAGCGAAGGAGAGACTGAATTGCCAATTTCATATGGGGTAGGGGGTTCTCCTTGTTTGGTATTTTTATCCAAGGACGTTTGTTTAGGAACTTAACAAGAGCTTCTCTTTTGGCGTCCTTTATGTCGTCGTAGGCTGTCCCGTCTGGTATTTGAATTGGAATTCCAGTCGAAGTCTCGAGCTGAAGTGTAGACCTTCCAGAAATACTGGTGAACTTGACCTTGGGCTTCATTACCCTGCGCAAGTACTGCTTAACAACTTCATTTATCTCTATAAGGTAAATTGCCTCGTCAAATCCTTCTGGCATTCCGAGTCCTTCCATCCGACAGGAAAATATTTTCCCGACAACTGGAAAAAATTTTCCGGACAACTGGAAAAAATTTTCCCGACGACAGGAAGAACTCTTCCAGTTGTCCGTCCGTAAACCATTCAAATTTTCGAAAATTGAGAACTTTTTGGTCGAACTTCAGGAAAAGTTTTTCCTTCCGACAGAAAAAGTTTTTCCTTCCGACAGAAAAAGTTTTTCCTTCCGACAGGAAAAGTTTTTCCTTCCAACAGGAAAGGTTTTTCCTTCCGACAGGAAAGGTTTTTCCTTCCGACGGTTAAGCCACAAACAGATGTCCGACGTCCCACCAACCGAGCCCATATCCCAACCAGAAGAACCGAAAGCTGCAGAACCACAACAGTCTCCTCAGCAACCTCAGTTCCAGCAAGTACCTCCGATTTACTACCAATTTCCACCTCAATGTTACTACCCACTACAAGGCTTCCCGAACTACCCTCCTCCTCAGCCTATGCCTTACTTCCCCAACCCTTGGATGTTCCAGCAAGCTCCACCCCAGCAATTCCAATCTCAATCCCAATCGAAGAGAGACCAAGAGTTCGAAGAAGGTCTGAACCGCTTACGCAAAGATTATGCCACAGCCCCTATGGAAGACGACAGGCTTTCAGTCTCTTCCCTCAAATCGACCGATTCGACTCGTACCACAGATTCGGTTCGTGACCGTGAAGACTACCTCAAGCAGTCTGAGAGACTCTTCATCCTACAGCCATTTACAGTTGGAGCTCTCAAGAACATGCGCAATTACGAAGGTCAGACACCAGCTGGAGACCGTAAAACAGACGTACTCGCAAGAGCAGTCCAACTGGTCAAGACAAAGACCGAGATAGTCGACTTCATTCTTGCAGCTTGCCCATACAAGTAAAAAAATAAACAATTACGAGTTAAACTTTTTACTCTTTCTTTTCTGAGTTGTTTAGAGCTGGTTTCTCTTGTAGGAACCTTTCGTACTCTTCCATGGTCATGTAATTGCGAATTTGGTACGCAATTCCAGGTTCGTTGTTTTTGAACCTTACGTATGTAACGCTTCCATCTTCCTCAGGGAAGTAAGCTGCTAACATCTGACCAAGTTTTCTCGGTGACTCGGAGCTCATAAAAATGTCACTTTTTAAACGTTAAGTTTTTAGTCTTATTTTACCCTTTGTTTACCCTTTGTTTGTCAATGTAGTATTGGAGTGCAATTTCTCCAAATTCTCTGTGTCGGAGTTCTTCAGCATTTTCCAAGGTGTACCTGGAGAACTCAAAGAAGTTGTCAAGAAGATACTGCCATGCTGCTCTTCTGAGTTCGTCGGTATTTTGGAAGTGTTGCACCTTCGAGTCTTCGGACATGAAAAAAATGACACTTTTTCAGCAAAAATATAATTTATGTTAGAATGTTAGTTCTAACATGTTTTCTAACACGTTTTCTAACATGGTCTAAAACTCTCGAAAATCATGAAATTTACACCAAAATATAATTTATGTTAGAATGTTAGTTCTA